GCAGCTGAGCTATTCTCTCCTTAACGTGGATGTGGTCCAAAGAATGGAATTCCAAAATTGGTTACTCCATCTATTGACTTTAAATGTGATCCAGCTGCTACTAAGTTTATGGCTCATGAATGATAACCTCAAGAGGCAGCTATAACTAGGACTTGGAACATGCAAAGATGAAAGACACAAGAAATTCTCAGTCCAATTTACCATATTTCTTTAAAAATAGAAAACTGATGCCATCTTGTGGTTATTTTAATAAGGTCACTCTTAAACGACTAAAATTTTGCAAGGCTAACAAAATCTCTTCTTCCTTTCTCCTTTAAAATATTGTTAAATATATTTTCCCTGGACTTTAGATGCACTTTCCTTACAATCTGGAGATTTCGTTAAAATGCTGCATCTACCCACATGGAAACACAATTACTATTAAAGTATTAATGCTAAGTGATTGCTAACCATGGAAAAGCACCAAGCAATTTTCATAGTTCTAGAAAATGCATGACCTGGCTTTCAAGAACTGAGTTCAGTGCATGTTAAAAGGGAGGATTTTCATTAAAATGGTGACATGGACACATGGGTTCCCACTTCCTGGGAACTGCAGAATAGACCAAAGAAATTGAGCAAAAAGAAGACAAGCTTACAAAAATGCTGGAGACTGGAGGTGGTACCTACCATTCATATCTCACAAATTTTGGAGAGTTTCTTCCAGATAGAATTAAGAGGAAATCAGATTTTTAAAACGATCCCATGGACTACTCATAATTGCTGGGATAAATGGTGCAAGCAAGTCCCCTAAACATGACTAGATATGACTAGATAGATGCCTTTGTTTTATTCATAGATTCCCATTATCATTAAAAGAATGTATATATCAGTCCTCAAAAGTATGCTTTCTTAGCCAAAATTACCAAAGGCAATTTGCATATATAAATACAAAATACATTAAGATGAAAAGAGATACTGTTAATATATTCTTCCGAAATGATAAATAAAATAACAAAATATATCTATATGACATCTATAGACATACATGGCTTGTATGTGGGAGGTGTGGATGAGGATAGGATAGAGAGATAGAGGATAGAGAATAACTTGGGTATGAGACTTTTAAAATACAGTTTGACTAAATCAAACAGCTCAGAACCACTCCCATGGAACACAGAAACTGAACAGACCTTTCACTATCCCAAAATATCACTGAACCGCTCCCTACCCTGAGTCTCCCAGAGTATCACAAAAACTTTCCTTTTTGTATGTTCATGACATTGAGCAATGCCTAAATAGCTGGTATTGTTTCTGGGTGTGTGTGTGAGGGAGTTGCCAGAGGAGACTGACGTTTGAGTGGGTGGACTGGGAAAGGAAAACCCACCATCAATATGGGTGGGCACCATCCAATCGGCTGCCAGCGAGGCTAGAACAAAGCAGGTGGAAGAAGGTGGGGTAAGCAGCCTGCTGAGTCTTCTGGCTCTCTTTCTTCTTCCCAGGCTGGCTGCTTGCTGCCGCTCCTCCTGCCCTTGTACATCAGACTCCAGGTTCTTTGGCCTTTGTACTCTGGGACTTGCCCCAGTGGCTTACAGGGGGCTCTTGGGCTACACGGTCAGCTTCCCTGGTTTTGAGGCTTTCAGACTTGGATTGAGCCACTACCAGCTTTTCTCTCTACCCAGCCTGCAGATGGCCTATTGTGGGACTTCACCTTGTAATCACGTGAGCCAATTCTCTCTAATAAACCCCGTTTTATATATACACATATCCTGTTGGTTCTTTCCCTCTGGACAGCCCTAATATAATAACCTATCCCTTGATCCAGTAACCTAGATTACACTCTTCTTGCCTCAGAGCTGTTACCACTTCAGCTAAATTAGTTGAACAGCTTCAGTTCTTGTACTGGGATGACCGTCAAATCTGAAGATAGCACATGCAGTACAATCTCCATTGATAACTAAAAGCACTGCAACTCCAGTCAGTTGGTTAACTATGAAATAGGAGTCCTTTCTCCTCATATTTCTTTTTTTTTTTTTTTTTTTTTTTTTTTTTTTTTTTTTTTTTTTTTTTTTTTTTTTTTTTTTTTTTTTTTTTTTTTTTTTCTTAATCTTTTTATTTTTTTTTATTTTTTAAAAAAGTAGAGACAGGGTCTTGTGTATTGCCCAGGCTGGTCTCGAACTCCTGGCCTAAAGCAATCCAGGCTGTGCTCCCTCTTGCTCCAAACCACCTGGCACTAACCAGTAGGATGGTTTCTGCCAACCGTGTGGCCAATCTGGCAGCTACTGTGAAGTCTGGGAGATTGTTTTTCAGACCCCTGGTTCCAGTTTCAGCCTTTCCCCACCAAGGACCAGAACTGGTGCATGGTGAGTTCATGGGAGCAAGGGCAGAGTGCAAATCACACTCCAAATTCAAGGACACAGCATGCCATCTCTTCTCCCCAGGCTCATCCAGGCGCTAAGACTTTTATGTACCTTTATTCTCAAAGCCTCCTGGTCAGCACAGGCACTCAGACTAAGTTAACAAACAAAAACACACCTTGGTGCTGCAGTCCCAAAGACAGTTTGGTCAGGGTGTATGTGGGGAAGGTGGCGATTCTTTGAGAATGGAAGGTAAGGAAGATACATGCACAGTTTCACCTACTCCAGGGCCACACCAGGACCTCCTGGTCTAATTCTCCTATTTTCAACGACAATGTAATGCTTATAAATTGATCAAACCAATTTTATATTATTAATTTCACTTTGTTTCTGGAACAGGCAAGATAGACTAGATAGTCATGTATCACTTAATGATGGAGACACATTCTGTCTGAGCAGTGCGTCATAGGCGATTTCATCGTGTGCGAACATCACAGAGTGTACTTACACAAACCAAGGTGGTAGAGCCTGCGACACGCCTGGCTGTATGGTATAGCCTATTGCTCTTAGGCTATAGATCCGTACAGCAGGTTATTATACAGAATACCACAGGCAATAGTAACACAATGTATTTGTATATGAAACCATCATCATCATATGTGATCTGTAGTTGACCAAAACATTATGTGGTGCATGACTGTATAATTCTTAATTGGGCATATGAGTAAACTGAGGCATCAAGTGATTCAGTGACTCCTAAATGTTGACTGGTGAGTTGTGGAACCAGGATTAGAACTCTCGCTCTGGTCTATTTCTACTATGTTGCAAATTCTGCTTTTCTGGGTTATATAAGTTTTTTTTTATATATATATTATAGTGAAATAGAATTAACTTTGTATCAGGAGTTTAGGGGTCCATGAAAATTGCATGATCAATCTGATGTGCATGTAAGATCTTCCTTATGACTTACAGTTTTCATGAAGTTTCTAAAAGGGTCTCTGTAACCAAAAAGATTAAGAACGCTGGCGTGCTGTGTCACGATGAGACTGAGGTCAAGTCTAGGGTGCCCTTTTTACGGATTGTAAATAGGGGATTGTAAACCCAGAGAAGATGGATATTGGGGGTGGGAATAATCATCTCCTTCTTCAGAGTCAGAGAGCACTGGAAGGTGGTACACGTGCTTACAGCTCTACAAGTGCATTCATACAAGCTTAGAACCTTAGATCAAGGAGGATTCTTGATTTTTAAACCTGAGGGTCCACAAATCTGGCTACACATTAGAATCATATGGGGAGCTTTGAAAGACACCATGTCTGCGACCAGTCCCCAAGGATTTCTATTTTAATGGTCCTAAGACTCTGGCTTCTGTATTTGTTTTTAAAGCTCCTCAGATGATTCTCATGTACCAGAGTTAGGATTACCGATCTTCTAAATGAGTAGTTATCAACCTTGGCTGAACAATGAAATCACTTGGGGAGCTGTAAGAAGTCCTGTTGCCTCAATCTCACCCTCAGATCTTCGGATTTGTCAGGAGTGTGCCAGGCATGAGGAATTTTTTTAATGACCCCAGGTGGTTTTCACAGGCACTCCAATTTGACAACCACTGTTGGGATCTAACCTGACACTTTCTGCTGCAAAGAAAACCAAGCCGAAGAGAAGTGGCCTAAGGTCATAGGGCTAAGACAGAACCAGGATTAAACCCAGGACCCAACTCTAGGCTTGGACTCTGCAGTTCACCTAGTCAAGGTCCATGGAGTTAACTTAGGCAGTTCAGGGTGGATCTGAAAAAGGGAGCTCGTCAGGGACAGGCCTTGCTTCTTTGATTAGAGAGAAACATCTAAACATATACATAATATATGTGTGTGTGTGTGTGTGTTTGAATGAATGTTGTCCTGCTTAAGGTATGAAATCCCTGTGTTCTGGCCCAGATGCATGGTTCCCTGTGGCCCCTCAGATTGGCAGCTAACTCTACGGGAGACAACCTCTAAGATGAGCCCCAACAATCCATGCCTGCATTCACACCCTTGTGTGATCCCTGCAATGGAGTATGGCTAGACCCACAGATTTGCTTCTAATGAACAGAATATGGCAGAAGGGATGTGACGCTATTTCTAAGATTAGATTATAAAGACATAGTAGCTTCTGTCTTGCAAACCTCTCTTGCTTACTTCTTTATTGCTCACTTTGATAGAAGCCAGTTGCCATGTAGTGAGCTGTTCTATGGACCCCCATATGGCAAAGAACTGAGGGAAATTCACTGACCAACACTCAGTAGTGAACTGAGACCCTTAATCCAATAGCTGGGAGGAACTGAATTGCGCCAGCAACCATGTGAGTGAGCTCAGAAGTGGATCCTCTCTCAATTGAACCTTCAGATGAAACAGCAGCTCCAGCCAATAACTGTACTACAGCCTAGTAAGACTTTGAGGCGGTTACCCAATAAGCCATGTCTGGATTCCTGACCCACAGAAACTGTGAGATAGTGTTTGTTGTTTCAAACAACAATTTAAGTTTTGAAGTAATTTGTAGGCAGAAATAGATAACTATTACAAAGTCCATGCACAAAAGTTCTTAAGTCAAGTTATAGTTGTTGAAACTAAGGTATCAAAAGACTAAATGTATTTTCCATAGTCAATCAGGGAAGCAGTGACAAAACAAGAAATGGAGTTTAGATGCCAGTTGATTCTCAGATTTATTCTCTCCTATAAAAAGGTGACATTTTTCATGAAATAACGCTAGTAGAACCCACGAGATTGGTAGCCATGTTGCCCTCCTTACCTTCCCTTGACTTTCTTTTCAAATCTCTTTATAGAGTAACCGTTGAGCACTGAGCCTTTTCCCTGGAAATATTATTCCTTTAACAATGCAACTTTGTCTGTTCTAAAACAAAGAGATCCCAGGCATTCAGTGTGCATTCTAAAAAGTGAGATGCTGAGACATGGGAGGAAAGTGACTTTCAAATAAGCACGTAATGATCAGGTAATCATCTCTCTCCCTTTCATGCTGAGAACAGTCACAAATTTTTCATTCCTGAGAATCTTGTTCCCAAATTGACAATGCTTCAATAAGCACCTTTTTGTACTCTCTTCTTAATCAAGTAGAAAGAAAAACCATCATAAATACAAGAGGAGTATTTTCCCCTCTAGTCAAAGTGTGTAGTCAGGAGCCCCAGCATTCTTTCCAGAGAGAGATAGTATGGTTCTAAACTATCACTTAGGCGACTGAGCACAGTATTTGGATAGAAGGATGCTTTGTATCAACCATGCCAATTAAAAAAAATCATTGAAGAAATCTAACGTGCACTTTAGTAACAGTGAAGAACTGGTAACATTAGGATATATTCTAACACCTAAAATTAGGAAAAAATCTAACCGAATATTAGTAATACCAGGTTAGAGTACTTCCACTTAATAGGAATTGGATATGAGCAGAAGTTCTTTGAGAGAAAACTGAGGATCAGAAGTGTAAACATTTGTCTAAGGCCATAAACTAAGTTTCCACTGGAATCAGGATTTAATTCCACAATGCACTTTACCTTCTTAATTCTGGCTACTATTCTTATCTCAGAGAGAAGACTCATTACCCTTGAAAAACTCCTCCTGAAGGGGTCAATGTGAGAAAGAGGAGGCAGGCCACTTGAACAAATTGTCTGCCATATAGCCACACACAGTAAACAAATCTCATAGAAGCTTTTGAAACAAAAGCAACACTATGAAGAGACAAAACTTAGCTTTGCTAATAAGTTAAATCAGAAAAGAAAAAGACAGATCTAGAAGACACTATTTCCAAAACATGTATTCTATAAACTGAAAGGGAAATGCAAGTGGCCAGCTTTATTTTATTCTTTCACCGGCCAAGGGGGAGTGATGTTTCATGCAGGGCCACTTCACCACCAAGGACACTGACCGCTTCTCCGCCTCCAGGACCAGCACTGAGGCCAATTTCACCTTGATTCTGAATGTCTCCCACTTTGATGCAGGGCCATTTCACCACAGAGGACTCCAACCACTTCTCCGCCTCCAGGAAGAGCACCGAGGCTGATATCACCTCCATTCTGGTGGCCTTCCACAGTAACTCACTGCTGGACCCAGACATCTTTGCTGAAGTCAGTTGACTGGACAGTACAGTGCAGGATCTGTGTGTGGCGCAGGGAAACGTAAGCCAGATCCAGTACCGGCAGGTGTGGGCCAGGTACAAATGCTCTGCGTGGTGCCCCCAACCCGCTCCTATACGCCTGGCAGGTGAACAAAATGCTTGACCTGAGCAGCATCTCCTTCCCCATCTACAACCATGGTGGACACCCCCTCTACCTGACCAGCTTCTTCAGAAGACACATCTTTGGGGAGAGCCTAGGAATGGACCAGTTACTCCTTCGGGCCAAAACCATGCAGCTGCTGTACTGCCTGAACCCTGAGCACCCTGAGGACTATGTGCAGAGCAAGCAGTGGCTCACCCATTTCCTTGATCAATTTAGCAACATTAAGAACAGCCTGACCTTGAAGAAAATTGAGGTACCTGGTGGTTCGGGTTTACAGGCAGGCCAGGAGAAGGTGGGAGGGATGAGGAAGATTTGTGCCCAGAACCCTAACAAAAGTACTGCATGACTATTTTATAGGGTCCTTGCCTCAAATCTGGGTTTGCTCTGCTGTATTTGGTACTCAATCCAATTTTCTTAACACTGACAAACTCCAGAAATCATGAATCCTGGGTAACACTGTGGTCGATAACACAAATCCTGTGTCCACCAGATGGGCCGGTTCAGTACGGACACTAATCTTCACATTTAATTTTGGGGTTTGGTTTCTAATCCAATTACAGTACTTTGAAATTCTACTTTCAGTTAAAGTCTTTGCTGGCTTTGAGGAGCCTCCTAAAACTTGTTTGGAGCTCGCTTGGATTAAAAAAGAAAAACAAACTTTTAAGTAAAAGTTAATGGTGTTAAGGTAAGTAGCTCAGCATTTTTCAAGTTAGATACATATGAAGCACCCGGCTTAGCATGAGGTACATGTCAGCTGTTCAGCTATAGCTGGGTCAGCAACCCTATTAAGACTTATAAATAGAGGAGCAGTGGTGTTGGCAGCGTCAGGGCACGGCCCAGGCAGGAGCAGCAGCCACAGCGTTCATCCGCCTGTGGAGGAAGAGGCAGCCTTGGCGGGTCAACTGGGTTGCTCCACGTGACATATGTCATGATTCTGATGGCTGAAGTGTTTTGCCTTGTGTACATCCTAGAGTTTCTTGATGTCTTCATTTGTGGATGGACAGGTTCTTCTGTGTTGCTCCAAACGACATAATTTCATTATTTTGGTAGCCAAAAAGCATTTCCCTTCAGTATATATACCAGAGTTTCCTGATCCCTTCATCTGTGGATGGAGAGGTTCCTCCACGTGGTTGCTGATGACAGGGTTTCCCGAAGCTTTATGGCTGAAGAGTACACCGTCATGTATCTAATATGGCAGTTTATTTACCACTTCATCTGTGGATGGACAGGTTCATGTGATTCCTGCATTTCTGGAAGAAGCAAATACAGAACAGAGCTGGAAGATAAATGCCTAAATCAAATCATCGCAGATTCTCACTCAAGATGAGCTCATAATCCCAAATAATAAAACATATGATCAATGAGAGAGAAGAGAAAATGTGAGCAAGCAGATTTGATCTATCTGAACAAGAATATAATAAGTGTAATTAAACAAATTAAGGACATAAAAGTATAAAGTAGAAATCAAGGAACAGATTTGCAATAGAACCAAATAGAACTTCTAGAAGTAAAATTACACACACAGAGAATCTAAGGCTTGTTGGTCATACTGAGCAGCAGACTGAATACAGCTGGAAAGAATTAATACACTAAAAGACAAAACCAAGGAAATTAACCAGGAGGCAGCACAGAGATAAAGCTCTTGTCTAAACATGTCTTTATTTTGTCCTGTTGAATTACTAATTTAGATAGCTGGAAAGACACTTGTAAGTTTACTGTTGTCTTCCCTTGCACAGTTGATATATTATAGACTTTCTTTTACCGTAAAAAAAAAATAAAGACTTATAAATAAGCCTGGTGAAAGAGACACCTGCTGGAAAGAGCCTTCAAAGACCAGGCCCACCTCAAATGATATTTATGCAACTGAAATAGTAAAAGACACCAGCCTAATAAAAATTTACAAAAAGTTATAATTTTTATAATTTTTTTTCTTTTCTTTTCTTTCTTTTTTTTTTTTTTTTTTGAGACAGAGTCTTGCTCTGTTGCCCAGGCTGGAGTGCAGTGGTGCAATCTCAGCTCACTGCAACCTCCACCTTCCAGGTTCAAGTGGTTCTCACACCTCAGCCTCCTGAGTAGCTGGGAATACAGATGTGTACCACCACACCTGGTTTTCTGTATTTTTAGCAGAGACAGGTTTCACCATGTTGGCCAGGCTGGTTTCAAACTCCTGACCTCAGGTGATCTGCCCGCCTCGACCTCCCAAAGTGCTAGGATTATAGAAGTGAGCCACCACACCCAGCCAAAAGTTATAATTTCTACAGCTATTAATGAGAACAAGATATCACAGTTTTAGGCTGGGCACAGTGGCTCATGCCTGTAATTCCAGCACTTTGGCAGGCTCAGGCAGGTAGAGTGAGTGCCTGAGCCCAGGAGTTCGAGACCAGCTTGGGCAAACTGGTGAAATCCCATCTCTACTAAAAATACAAAAACTAGCTAGATGTGGTGGCACATACCTGTAGGTGTCTTGCTGTGTTTTCCAGGCTGGCCTCAAACTCCTTGGATCAACTGATCCTTCTGCCCCAGTCTCCCGAGTAGCTGGAAGTACATCCATGTGAATCCAGAAGGAAACTACTAGAGTTAATAAATTCAGCACAGCTTCAGGATACAAGATCAACACACAAAAATTAGTTGCTTTTCTGTACATGTGCGATGAACAATCTAAAAAGGAAATGAAGAAGGCAATTCCATTTAAATAGTGCTAAACAAATAAAATGCTTAGGAATAAATTTAAGGAAGTGAAAGACCTACATGCTGAATACTACCAAACATTGGTAAAAGAAACATAAAAAGACATAGGTAAATGGAAAGATCCTTAGTTCTTGGGTTAGCAGACTCAATATTGCTAAAATACCAGTCCTATTCAAAACAATCTACAGATTCAACACAATCCCATCAAAATTCTGAGAATCATTTCTCCCCCCAGAAATAGAGAAGCCAATCCCTAAATTCAAATGGAATTGCAAGGAGTCTCAGATGACCAAAATAATCTTGAAAAAGAAGAACAGAGTTGGAGGACTCAGTATTATTCAGCCATAAAAAGGAATGAAGTTCTGATACATGCTACCAGGATGAACCTTGAAAACATTATGCCTAGTGAAATGAGCCAGTCACAAAAAGACAAACATATAGTTCCACTTATATGAAATCTTTAGAATAGGAAAGTTCACAGAGACAAAGTAGATTAAACGTCAACTGGCAATGTGGGGCTGGTGGTGATGGGGAGTTACTGCAGAATGATAACAGGGTTCCTATTTGGGGTGATGAAAAATACTTGGGAACAGACAGTTGTGATGGCTGCATGACAGTATGGATGTAATTAATGCCACCAAATTATACATTTAAGGGTTGTTATAATAGCATATTTTATGTCATACATATTTTACCACAATAAAATATTTTTCACAAAGAGATTTAAAAACTCATAAAAGCTTTTTACCTGAAGCACGATGTGACGGCAAGCAGTCTGATGAGAACACACGCCAGGTGAAAACAAAGGGATCGCTGTCATAGACGTTGCCTCAAATTCCAGTTGTCTGGAAAGCGATGTAAAGTGAACTGCCTGCCACAAAAATGGACTCAGGTAAATAACTTTTATTTCCAGTATTTGTGTGTTACAAACACTATTGAAACACTTTATGTTAGTGACGAAACGATATGTTAAAATTCAGTAAAAGATCAAAATACATGGATTGTGATTTTAGAAGAGAGAAAATAATGTAGATTTGCTTCTTCCCACAAATCTATGAGTTCCTCCTAAAGTTTCTTTCAGATTCAAAGTTTAAATAAAACTCCTGAATATACAAAATCTGAATTCGCAAAAAAAGAAAAAACAAAAAGGAGCTCTTGGCTGGGCGCAGTGACTCACGCCTGTAATCCCAGCACTCTGGGACGTCGGGGTGCGCAGATGACTTGAAGCCAGGAGTTCGAGACCAGCCTGGCCAGCATGGTGAAACCCCACCTCTACTGAAAATACAAAAATTAGTGGTAGCACATGTCTGTAGTCCCAGCTACCCTGGAGGCTGAGGTGGGAGAACTGTTTGAACCGGGGAGGTGGAGGCTGCAGTGAGCCTAGATGATGCCACTGCACTTCAACCTGAGTGACAGGGTGAGACTGTCTCAAATTTAAAACTAAAACAAAAGAGCTCTTCCTAACAGAATTTCAAATAAGGTAAGTAGACAGAGTGATCGCATTTGAAAATATCATCATTTGATAACCACCACAGTTAGAATGGCAGGATCATACATTGTCCTTTTTGCTTGTCACAGGCAAGAAGTATCAATGGATGCTAAAATAAGAGGACAAAAAATATGATGAAAAGGAGTACATCTAATATAGTTTCAATGTATCTCTCCAAAAGAAATATATTCATTACAAGGGGAAAAATAATAACTTCAGAGGAAAAAGTTGGCATATATCACCCAATAGTAACCAAAGTCCCACCACCAGTAAATGGGACAAACAGACACCATGTGCCTCCCGACACTGTGCTTGAGAAACACTTCTGTGGAATTCCTGCCAAAAGTGCATAACCTGAATCCAACCATAAGGACACTCTGGATATATGTAAATTAAAGGGCATTCTACAAAATAATTATTTACTCTTCAAAAATATCAAGGCCCTGGAAAGACAAAGACTGAAGAACCGTTCAGATTAAAAGAAACTGAAGAGTGGCCAGGCGCAGTGCCTCATGCCTATAATCCCAGCACTTTGGGAGGCCGAGGCAGGCGAATCACCTGAGGTCAGGAGTTCGAGACCAGCCTGGCCAACATGGTGATACCCAGTCTCTACTAAAAATACAAAAATTAGCTGGGCGCAGTGGCACATGCCTGTAATCCCAGCTACTTGGGAGGCTGAGGCAGGAGAATCACTTGAACCTGGGAGGCAGAGGTCACAGTGAGCTGAGATCGCACCATTGTACTCCAGCCTGAGCGACAGGGCAAGACTCCAACTCAAAAAAAAAAAAAAAAAAGAGATAGACTGAAGAGAAATAACTAAATTCAATGTATGATCCCAAACCCCAAATAAATTATTTTTCTTTTGCTATATAGGACATTAATGGGACAACTGACAAAATCTGTGCATAGACAATAGAGTTGTATCCATGTTGATTTAAGAAATATATGATGTAGACATTAAAGACATCATGTCTTCAAGCCTACTCTCAAAATAATTCATTTTAAAAAAGAAATCAGAAAAACAGCCAATGCAGTATTTTTTAAAAGAATACTGTGTGTGTATGTAGAGAATGATAAAGCAAATGTGACAAATATTAACATTTGGATGGAGTAATTTAGTAGGATACACAAGAATTATTTCTCCTATTTTTAGAAATATATGAGTCTGAAAAAAATAGACATACAATAAATGTAAACAAATAAAGGCAGTTAAGATAAACTATTTGTTTTCCCTAATAATACTGCCAGGATCATCTTTACTATAATCTCATCAGATCATCAAATTTCAAAGCTCAGGGAAAAAAAGTATTGTCTCCCCAAAACCTCCCAATTTACAGATGACGTTAGTAAGTCGAGATTGCACCTAATTCAATGCAAAGCCAAGACTATTACCTAGCTCTGACTCAGCTCAGCTACCTTTCAACTATTCCAAGTGGTCTTTTCACTCCTTTACATTCTTGTCTGCGGTCTAAACACATGATACCAAAATACTTATCTCTATCTTCTCATATACTCTTATAAGTTAGTGTTACTAACCACTTTCAGGCCATCTAAATTTTATGTCTAAAAGGCATTTAAGTATCACTGCTCCTAACAGTCCTTAATAACTAATATCAATACATATGCAAAGATCAGAATACATGTCAAACACTGCAGCAAATGCTGAACATACAAAATTAACGTACTCTACTGTTAGGTACATGAAGACAGACACCAATTTTATGTTATTCAATATTATAACCCCACCTCTTAGTAACAGTGCATGGCATACAGTAAGTACTCAAATAACTGTTGTATATTGCAAAATAAAAGACAATCCATAATACAGGAAAGAAATGTGTGTACGGATAACCATAATATCAGTAGTTTTAATAAAGTCTCATGAGACAACAGATAAGGAAATTATTTTCTCTTGGTAAGATCTAGAAAGGCCTCAGAGATTTAATGATACCAAAGTTAAATCTTGAAGGACAAATAAAATGTCAACAGACATGGAGGTGGTGGGGTGGTAAGAGGAAGGTAGAAGAATTTAGATAAAAAAGCCCAAAAGCAACAAAATATTAGACATTTCTATTGAATTTTTAAACACAGGCTTACCTATTGTTGCTGCAAGTTCTGGATCAAAGGTGTCATCTGTGAACCTCAAGAGCAGGCTGAAAGAGATATTAAAAAGACAGGTTAGGAATTAGAATTTTTCTTTCTAATCATATGATAAGTGTGTTCATGATTATTATATCTCATCATAATTTATTAAATGCAAATAAAAATAACTGATGGAGGCCTGCTCCTAGGAATACTGCCTCAGAGCAAGCATACAGAGAAGAATTAAATTACTAGAAAGGCAATTTAAAAACTGCCAAGAGCGGCCAGGCACGGTGGCTCACACCGGTAATCCCAGCACTTTGGGAGGCCGAGGCGGGCAGACCACAAGGTCAGGAGATCGAGACCATCCTGGCGAACATGGTGAAACCCCGTCTCTACTAAATATACAAAAAAATTAGCCAGGCATGGTGGCGGGCACCTGTAGTCCCAGCTACTCGGGAGGCTGAGGCAGGAGAATGGCGTGGACCCGGGAGGCGGAGGCTGCAGTGAGCCGAGATCGCGCCATTGCTCTCCAGCCTGGACAACAGAGCGAGACTCTGTCTCAAAAAAAACAAAACAAAACAAAAAAAAAACTGCCAAAAGCAAAGTAGTTTACTATTAAATATATTCCCCATACTCTCCTACACAATCCCCCAAGTTCAAAAGGTGAGGATTTTTTGTTGTTCTTTTTAACTGTTCTGATGTCCTGAGAAAATGATACTAGCAACATGTCACACTTTAATTGACATGGATGAAAAGGGAAAAAATAAAGTTTCTTGGAATGAAACAAAGTAACTTAAAAAATCTGACCTGTAATCCACTTTAAATTCAAGCACAAACAGAAAGATATCAAAGCCTAGCATTCTGTAACATGCAGTATGGCTACTGCCTAAGTGGGAAGAAAAGATACAGTAAAAAGGTAAAAAAAAAGATCACAGGACAGAGTAGGTATACTCAGGCAAACACCAGGTAGGGTTTATAAAAACAAGTAGGCAACTGGAAGCTACTGAAGGCTTTTAAAGAAAGTTATGACAAGAAGTACTCTTTGTTTTGAAAAGTTAATGCCAACAAAAAATGGAAGAACAATCAACAGAAGTCAACTGCCATGGTTATGGCGGGAGAGAACAAAGGACTAAACCTAGGAAATGGTAAGAAACTAGAAAGGAAGGATAAAAGCAAAAGACACCAGATTAGAAGGGTACTCTAAGATTTTCCATCTTCCAGAATTATTTTACTTACTATGAAGCAGAAGTGTCAATCAGAAGCTCCTCAAAAATAAAACCTAATGTTAAAGCCCTAAATTTTAAAATCATTCAATCTTGCCTCGTTAACTTCTACAGTCTGTTCTGTTGATCTGTTTTTATTAATAATATCAAAGAAACAGTCATCAGATGTCTAAAATTATAGAAAAATCTTATATTTCTAATATTCTAATTTCTAATTAGACTGTAATATTCATAAGGTTGTGATTACTGCTGCTAGCGATATGTTTTGTCCACAGAGTATTTCGCAAAACATAATGGCTTCCTGGTAGTTTCCAAACCCAGTGTCATTAATTATATTTGAAGGATTAACTCTACCTTACTTGGTTTTCCTGTGTTTACCATAAAACGAGCACCACAGAATCAAAGTACAACAGGAGAGTCAAATTCTATAATTCTCTATTTAACATCTTAACTATATTTACTTACTTCGAACATAAGTTAGGTGACAGCACTAATAAGACTCTAAAATGAAACCTATAAAAAATTTCTTTTCTCCCAATACTCAGTTACCCATAATTTAAAAATAGAAAAGATATGCGGTCACCACAGAAAATATTACTACAAAAACCTAAGTTAGTATAACGTTGTAAAATAGTTGTAATAATAATATTATAATAATAATACAAGTAATAATGATATTGGGTATTACTTATTGAACATATGGCAATGTACAGACAAAAAGCCAGAGGTTTTTCTCTCATGGTTGCTAATCCTTAACAACCGCCATTGTCATTAACGGTACTTTGTCAGGAGAGGCAGGAAATTGGTGGTATGGTGTGAAGTAACAAATTTTAATACAGGCTCTGGGTATACATCAGATCTTAGCAAGGGGTACCCTGGTAGCCCAAAATGTATTCTAAATTCTATGTGTGCATTTTTCTAGGCAGAGTCCATTTCTCTATTTATTAGACTTTGAAAGGGGCAGAGAGTCCATTTCTGTATTAGATTTTGAAAGGAACTGGCAATCTCAAAATGATTAAGAAGCACCCTTTTTTTTTAAGAGACAGGGTCTCACTCTGTCACCCAGGCTGGAATGTGGTGGTACAATCTTAGCTCACTAATCCTCCCACCTTAGCCCCCCAAGTAACTGGCATGACAGGTTAGCATCACCATGGCTGACTAATTTTTTTTATTTTTCAGTTTTTTAGAGGCATGGCCTTGCTATGTTGCCCAAGCTGGTCTCGAACTCCTGGACTCAAGTGATCCTCCTTCCTCAGCCTCCTGAGTAGCTAGGATTACAGAATGAGCCACTGCACTTGGCAGAAGCACCATTCTTACAGTATTGTATATTTACACCTTCATATTTCAAAGTTAAAGGAGCAAAATGCTTTCCATGCAGAGGTAGAGATGGAAGGAGTAACTACCACCATGGCACTTAGATAAGACCAAATTTAAAACAAACAATGTGATTATAACTAGTCTGCATTTCTTTATCTACAAATGAAATTCACCAAAATGAATGGCAAGGGTAGGAGCATAGGAGGGACAGCAATTTACGTAACAGGCCTCTTTAATCCCTTCCAGTTCTTGATACACTCTGCTACCTCTACCTCACCGGGTCTAGCCACAGAATTGGAGTCTTACAGAGTCAACACTAGATAGGGTTTGAGAGGTATCTATTCCAACCCCCTCACTTTTGAAATGAAGGCCTAGAGCATTCCAGTATCACACATAAGGCCACACAAGTGGCAGCCCCAGTTTCATAATCCTGATCTCCTGATTACTACCATATACCCTTTGGACTCCAACACCAAGAAATAAACTAGAAAGTAATCCACTACTTTGGCTTAAAGACATCCTTCATCGTACAATAATTCCCCAACAACATGAGTGCTATTTCACTTCCACTAGTTCCAGCTCTGTAAAGAAACAGAACAAACTTGGTAAAAACAACCCTTTAAGATCACATCCATGACAAACGTTTCTGTACTCACTCACTTTAAATATAGACTTCTATTTTAGTGGAGTTATTCTTATCCAGAAAGGTGATTACGTGTTTAAGGTTCTTTTCCATAGCATATCACATAGGACAATAATGTATATCTAGCCAAATAAGACAACTTTCTCACTAAATGCAATCCTTTCACAAAAGAGGTAAAGTGTCAAAATTTTGCAGTGAGCAATTGATAATCCACCACTATGCAATAAGGGAAAAGTTTAAAAAAGATCAGGCCTAAATACAATTTGTTTCTGGGGAGTGAACTAGAGAGACTGATAAACCCATTTAACAGAACTTATTCTAAAAAGGGACTCTCAGCTGAGTGCCATGGCTCATGCCTGTAATCCCAGCACTCTTGAGAGGCCAAGGCTGGAGGATGGCATGAGCCCATGAGTTTCAGAATAGCTTGGGCAACATAGGGAAATCCCATCTACAAAAAAAATTTTTTAAAGTAGAGCCGGGTATGGTGGCTTATGCCTATGATCCCAGCATTTTGCAAGGATCCATTGAGGGCAGGAAGATCTGTTGAGCTCAGGAGTTCGAGATCACCCTAGGCAACACAGCAAGAACGTGTCTCTATAAAAAACCCTAGCCAGGAATGGTGATTCGTCCCTATAGTCCCAGCTACTCAGGAGGCTGAGGTGGCAGGATCGATTGAGCCCGGGAAGTCAAGGCTACAGTGAGCTGTGATCACACCACTGCACTCCAGCAGGTGACAGAACAAGACCCTATCTCAAAAAAAAAAAAAAAAAAAGCGGCGGCACAGGGGGGACGGGGAACCAAACTCATTTATATACTCTAGTTAACTTTCCAGAAAATTTTAACCACCCTAACTTGTCACCCATGCAATACATTTACACAAAGTGCTAACCAATTTCAACCCAATTTCATGTATTGGGTTGAACTACATGAAATGACAACCAACCATTCGTGACTTCAAAAATGCCAATTTCATACGTCTGAACTTAAATGAGAACCATATGTCAAGGAAAAAAGAGAGAAATGAAAAAGAAGGATCACAAGGTTATGAAATTCCTATTAAGGCAATTTTTATTACATTAACTTTTTAACCCTCAAATATGTACGTGCAATAACAGATGATCATGTAAATAATTTTATTCATCCGTTTTACACACATACACACAAATCATACTGGTTTGCTTACCCATAGTGTTTCATTATTCTATTCCTTGGTATGTGCAAATCCCTCTGACTATAGTAGACATAGAGTACATTAAGTGAGGAGTACTGGAAAAATGTATTGTCAAACTTTAAAAATACAAAAAATTTCAGAATCTATTACATAGCAAGCTTTAAAATCCTGAAGTAGCTAAAAAAGTAAAACTTTGTAATCTTATTTATTTATTTATACTTTAAGTTCTGGGATACATGTGCAGAACGTGCTGGTTACATAGGTATAAACCTTTGTAATTTTATGGTATATGAGGAAAGCTTTCATTCTATTTTGTATAAGGATACCTCAATTTGTAAAATCTTACATGAATAACAAGTTATTTGAAAGATATGTATCAGCCAGGGGCGGTGGCTCATGCCTGTAGTCCCAGCACTTTGGGAGGCTGAGGCGGGTGGATTACTAGAGGTCAGGAGTTCGAGACCAGCCTGGCCAACATGGTGAAACCCTGTCTCTACTAAAAACACAAAAATTAACTGGGCGTGGTGACACACACTTGTAATCCCAGCTACTCAGGAGGCTGAGGAAGGAGAATCGCTTGACCCCAGGAGCCAGAGGTTGCGGTGAGGTGAGATCTCGCTACAGCACTCCAGCCTGGGCAACAGAGCAAGACTCAGTCTCAAAAAAAAAAAAAAAAAAAAAAAAAAAGATATGTGTATCAGAAGCTATAGTTAAAATATGAAACTGATTACAGCTCCTGGAGTCTAAATGTGGTTTAAGGATCAGGACGGCCTTGAACATAACCTACTCATAATCAGACGGCAAGAATGACTTCACCTGGAGAACTCTGTTCCAAGACCTGGATGAAATCACAACCCTCTAGCAACATCCACCTAGATCCATGTCTTACCTTATACTCAACTCCACTGTCAATATTATTTTCCCCAAGGAAAAAAGTCAAAAATGAAAAGACAACACTAATCTTTTGTCTCCACAGGATGTGGCAAAATGAGAAATAACAATTACATTTTATTTTCAAAGGTGGTCCAACTGCTTCAGCTGTGGACCACTTACACTAAAGCGAAATTTTCCAGCAGTCACAAGATCCAGGAGTTCTTCCACAGCCAACTAATAAAAAAGTAAAAGAAGCGACATTAGGCTGCGCCCAAACAGGCCAGGAATGGGACCTAAGGCGTCACGAAACTTCCCGAGGACATTATGTATTTAGAGAAGGCCCCACAGAAACCCTCAAGTGGGAAAGTTATGTCTCCCGGGTCTCGGGGTGACAGGCAGCCTGAACCCCGAAGAGCTCGAGGCGAGGCGCCCCCCGGCCAGATTCGGGCCCAAACCAGCCCGCCACGCCCTGAGCTCCGCGCAGCAAACCGGCCGGCGGAGCGGCGGCCCTTGGAATGGTGTTTTCTCGGCGCCACAGGAGGGAGAGCGACCCAGAGAACTTGGGCCTGGCAGAGGCCGGGAACCAGGCAGGCGCGGGTGGGGCGAGGGGAGGAGAAGCCGCGGGAAAGCGCGGCCCAGAGGCCGAGGAGGGCGCGAGCTGGGCCGACCCCAGCCCGGCCGCCATCGTGGACGCTTGCAGCGGTTAAAGGTTTTCCCATCGCGGCCCAAGAGACAGCGGCCACGTAGGCAGAAAGAGCCCAGCCACCCTCATCACGGCCCGTACGCCCGCCTCACCTGTACTTGCCCACCCCACTCTCGCGGATGATGAGGCTCTTCAGGGTGCAACACGTCCTCGTCCATCCTGACCCCGCTGCACTCCGAGCCCAGCTTGCCGCCCCAGTGCACCTCTCAGCTATTCAGCAGCGGCAGCTGCCGCGCACGCGCGCGCTCCATGGCCGCGCACACCCAGAATTCTCCCCTGTCCTTCGGGAAGGCGGATTCCTTATGTGTCTTTACTGGTGCGGGGTGCGGGGGGCGGGGGGGTCTAAATCCGCCCGGACCTCAACCCAACTCTCTGTCGTGTCAGTGAGAGAGGACTGAGTCAGGAGAATATCAAGCTGTTTTATTTCAGCAAATGTTCATAACAGCTGTATTGCGGTGTGAAATGCACTGTGCTTGAAGACTGTTACCTTAAATTTAGGTCCAACTCTACCATAATGACTGCCTTGTCATTCTACTCAGCCTTCTGCGCCTTTCTCCATCTCAGAGAAAGACACAAAGGCTTCTTAGAACAACTGCTTCTTATTGTTACGAAGGTTAAATGAGTTACTTAGGGAAGACAGATTGTTAACCACAGTGCTGTATAAACGGTGTGATCAGGCATTAACTTGCTGGCTTCCCCTCTGTTAGAGTGGGGAGCACCCTTTATACGTTAATTCATCTAGAAAGTAAGGTGTAGACTTCAGGTAGGTCAGGTGCATATAAACTTCTGGTGGTGAAACTTCAAACCAACTCTTCCTCCTCATAAGAACTGCTGCGTTCCAACTGCAGGAAGTGTATGTCTACACCTTGCCTCTTGCACTAAGTTGTAAATCTTAGTCAAGATACCAAACCTCATTCATAAACTTAGCACAGTGCCTGGTACATGGCAGACACTCAATAAACATCCGTAATTTTGTCTTATCTCCTTATACCTGCAGTTAATGTCATAAACAATAGATATTTGATTAAAGAATACATACACGTAAAGCTTATCCGGGTGCTGTGGCTCATGCCTGTAATCCCAGGACTTTTGGAGGCCTAAGCAGGTGGATCACTTGAGCTCATGTGTTCGAGACCAGCCGGGCTAACATGTGAAACCCCGTCTCTATTAAAAATACAAAACTTAGCTGGGTGTGGTGGTGCACACCTGTAATCCCAGCTCCTCAGGAGGTGGAGGCAGGAGAATCGCTGGAATCTTAAGAGGTGGAAGTTGCAGTGAGCAGAGATCATGCCACTGCACTCCAGCTTGGGCGACAGAGTGAGAGATACCGTGTCTCAAAAACAAAAAATAAAACGTAGAATAAGTTAAGAAATTACTTGTTAAATACCTGGAAAAGCTCTTTCACCAGATATCCAAATGGCTTCTTCGTCTACTTCAGATCTTTGCTCAAATATTGACTTCTTAAGGAGGCCTTCCCTGCCCATCCTACTGAAATATACAGATTCCTCCAGCATCTCTGAGGAATCCAGAAGCCTGGCATGCTGGCAAAAGGGTAAGAATTTCTTACCAGTCAGACTTCTGTCCTCTTTCTCTGTGCAAATCAGTTGAATGAATAGTAAAAATCACTGTTTATCTCCTCCGTAAAGTTTTGATTAGTAGAATGAAGGATTCGTGAGGCTAATCTTAAGCTGTAGTGAATCTAGTGTGCTTTGTATGTCTTTCTGTGTTCTACAATGGAGGGGGTAACTTAGGACAGAACACAGGCTTAGGAAACCTGTAAGCCTGCTTTTCAAGATGGCCCAGCAAACTGGTCAGTTACAAACTTTGCTGCAGGTCTCTGAAAAAAAAAACTGGATGAGGTTTCCCTCTTGTCTTGTATCTCCGTGAGAGGTGAAGCCCGCTGGGCTTCTGGGTCTGGGGGGGACTTGGAGAACTTTTCTCTCTGGCTAAAGGATTGTAAACACAGCAATCAGCGCTCTGTGTCTAGCTAAAGGTTTGTAAACACACCAATCAGCACTCTGTAAAAATGGACCAATCAGTACTCTGTAAAATGGACCAATCAGTGCTCTGTAAAATGGACCAATCAGCGTACATGGGTGGGGCCAAATAAGGGAATAAAAACCGGCCAGGGAGCCAGCAAGGGCAACCCACTTGGATCCCCTTGGCTACTCTGGAAGCTTTGTTCTTTCCCTCTTCACACTATAGGTTACTGCTGCTCACTCTCTGGGTTTGCACTACCTTTATGAACTGTAACACTCACTGTGAATGTCTGTGGCTTCACTCCTGAAGTCAGTGAGACCACGAACCCACCAGGAGGAACAAACAACTCGGATCATGCCACCTTTAAGAGCTGTAGCACTCATTGTAAAGGTCTGCAGCTTCACTCCTGAAGTCAGCGAGACCACGAACCCACTGGAAGGAAGAAACTCCGGACAGATCTGAACATCTGAAGGAAAAAACTCCGGACACACCATCTTTAAGAACTGTAACACTCACTGTGAGGGTCCGCAGCTTCATTCTTGAAGTTGGCGAGACCAAGAACCCACTGGAAGGAACCAATTCTGGACACATTTTGGCGACCCAGGGACTACCGCCTATTGCCAAATAGTGAGTACCATCAGACCCCTTTGGCTTGCTATTCTGTCCTATTTTTCCTTAGAATTTGGAAGGGAAATACCGGGCACTTATTGGCCAGTTAGTTGCAAGTGACTAGCGTGGCCGCCAGATTAAAGACACAGGTGTCAGGCTTTCTGGGAAAGGGCTCTCTAACAACGCCCGACTCTTCAGAATTGGGAGTGTTGGTTTGCCTGCTTCCACTTTTCCTGTACTTCTGGGCTGAGCCGAGGGTCGACAGAGAGGAAAGCCATTCAGCTCCAGGGTCCTGACAACAAGTTGGTTGACCCTGCAGCCATGAGCAAACTCTCAAAGTCATGGCGCCCAAGCGAGACTTGCCCATCTATCCTATCTATCCTGACCCTTGTCTCCGGGTCCTAACCTCTGTCTGACAAACTTCCTCTTGCCTCTCTTCTCTGAGGCTAGTCCTGCTTCTACAAACCACTCCCTGTCTCTGGTGCTTTTCTAGTTTCTCCTATAAGAATGATTTCTAGTATAAACTTCAGGACTCTGTTACCTTCTTTAGGCACATGGGCCCACTAATCAGAAAGACATAATTTTTGCCCAAAGCCCTGTCGGGGCTGGGGACTACCTTATCTGGAATTTTAGGATCCTTCCTCAGCCTAGCAGGCCTAACAAAAGCTATTCCGGAAGCTAGGATATGGGGAGCTTCAGAAATGATATCCTTCCTATTCATATAAGCGAGGACAAAAGGCGTCACTCCAAAGTTGGAACCCTGGAGATCCCTTCCCTCCCTCAGGGTATGGGGCCCTCCACTTCATTTTTGGGGCATAACATCTTTATAGGACACAGGTAAAGTCCCAATACTAACAGGAGAATGCTTAGGACTCTAACAGGTTTTCGAGAATGCATCAGTAAGGGCCACTAAATCCGATTTTTCTCTGTCCTCTTTGTGGACTAGGACAGGCAAGGGTGCAGGTTTTCAAGAAAGCATTGGTAAGGGCCACTAAATCTGACATTCCTTGGTCCTCCATGTGGTCTAGGAGGAAAACTAGTGTTTCTTCTGCTGCGTCGCTGAGCACAACTATTCCAATCAGCAGGATCCAGGGACCGTTGTGGGTTCTTGGGCAAGTGGTGTTTCTGCTGCTGTGTTGTCGAGCGCAACTATTCCAATCAGCAGGGTCCAGGGACCATTGTGGGTTCTTGGGCAGGGGGAGAAAGAAACAAACCAAAACCATGGGCAGTTTGTCTTTCAGACGGGAAACACTCGGACATCAACAGGCTCACCCTTGAAATGCATCCTAAGCCATTGGGACCAATTTGACCCGCAAACCCTGAAAAAGAGGTGGCTCGTTTTTTTCTGCACTACAGCTTGGCCCCAATATTCTCTCTCTGATGAGGAAAAATGGCCACCTGAGGGAAGCGTAAATTACAATACTATCCTGCAGTTTGACCTTTTCTGTAAGAGGGAAGGCAAATGGAGTGAAATACCTCATGTCCAGGTTTTCTTTTCATTGAAGGAGAATTCACAGCTATGCAAAGCTTGCAATTTACATCCCACAGGAGGACTTCCCAGCTTACCCCCATATCCTAGCCTCCCTATAGCTCCCCTTCCTATTAATGATAAGCCTCCTCTAATCTCCCACACCCAGAAGGAAATAAGCAAAAAATCTCCAAGGGACCACAAAAACCCCCATGCTATCAGTTATGTCCCCTTCAAACTGTAGGGGGAGGGGAATTTGGCCCAACCTGGGTACATGTCCCTTTCTCCTTCTCTGATTTAAAGCAGATCAAGGCAGACCTGGGGAAGTTTTCAGATTATCCTGATAGGTACATAGATGTCCTATAGGGTCTAGGGCAAACTTTCGATCTCACTTGGAGAGATGTCATGCTGTTGTTAGATCAAACCCTGGCCTTTAATGAAAAGAATGCGGCTTTAGCTGCAGCCTGAGAATTTGGAGATACCTGGTGTCTTAGTCAAGTAAATGATAGAATGACAGCTGAAGAAAGGGACAAATTCCCTACCAGTCAGCAAGTCGTCCCCAGTATGGATCCCCACTGGGACGACCTTGACTCAGATCATGGGGACTGGAGTCTCAAACATCTGTTGACCTGTGTTCTGGAAGGACTAAGGAGAATTAGGAAAAAGCCCATGAATTATTCAATGATGTCCACCATAACTCAGGGAAAGGAAGAAAATCCTTCTGCCTTCCTCAAGCGGCTATGGGAGGCCTTAAGAAAATATACTCCCGGCTGGCACGGTGGCTCACACCTGTAATCCCAGCACTTTGGGAGGCCGAGGCAGGCAGATCACAAGGTCAGGAGATCAAGACCATGGTGAAACCCCATCTCTACTAAAAATACAAAAAATTAGCCGGGCGCGGTGGTGGGCGCCTGTGGTCCCAGCTACTCAGGAGGCTGAGGCAGGAGAATGGCGTGAACCTGGGAGGCAGAGCTTGCAGTGAGCCGAGATCATGCCACTGCACTCCAGCCTGGGGGACAGAGCGAGACTCTGTCTCAAAAAAAGAAAATATACTCCCCTGTCACTCGACTCCCTTGAGGGTCAATTGATCCTAAAAGATACGTTTATTATCCAATCAGCCACAGATATCAAGAGAAAGCTCCAACAGCGAGCCCTGGGCCCTGAACAAAGTCTGGAGGCATTATTAAACT